TAAAAAGTTCGTCTTAAGGTCTGTTGCAAGTCTACAGAAGTGCATCAGTACATTTAATGATATGAGTTACTACTCATTGAATTTTTAGAGGCTCTCCATGTGAACTACACGTTTTTAAAGATGTGCACACTAACTAGTCACCGTCTGAGGTGGCTCAGGGTAACAACTGATTTCGCTGAAGTCCCTCCGTCCGGGATGCCCTAGGGTTCGATTGCCGATGGGTACCACTTTCGTAGCTAGACCGAGTTCAGATTCTATCTGCAGGAGAATTCTAGCGGCCGGCTTCTGTGATCAGGACTTTTGTGTTGTTTCTCCAATCAACGCTAAGTGAATGCCGGAGCAGTACCGTAACAAATGGCCACGAACCGTTCGCAATTTTCCTTTATCTTCCTTCTCCTGTCATTACCCCTTACTTACCACACTATCACATATGTCGTGAGCAGAGAGCTTGTGTCGGAAATATCTGTCGTAAGCGAGCGTGCCACTGGTAGGAATAACATAATATAATATTATATTATAATATATATTATATATATTACTATATATATATATGCTATATATATATATATAATAATATAATATATTATATATTATATATATATATATATATATGTAACCGAGAGCCTCTATTTCGTCAAGAGGCGGCAAGGAGCGGTTGTCTTTTGATGTCACCGGTGGCTCGCGGGAGGGTGTAGTTGAATCGGGGCGGCCTGTTTTAAATATTTATTGCTTGAGGAAAAGTGACACAGTTTGCGCGAGATATGTGTTCGCTCGACGACCGTTAAATCGCAAGCGACACACGAAAAGGGAAACAGCACATGCGCAGAAGAGCCAGAATGCCTAATATAGCTGTTCAGATAACATTGGGTAGCCTAATACAAGCTAGGAATTGTAATCGTCCAGACATTTGTTTACGTTTGCGTTTGTTACTTGTTTCATTGACTTTATTCTGTGATTTCTTTCACTAAATGTGAATTTATTTTTTAGCCGTGGCTGCCACATACAAAAGCTAGGACGTCGATGTTTTTGAGACGGCGTTGATGCATTCTGTGACATCGACTGAGTGCGCTGATACCTCGCGCGAGGTTTGAATACAACCCGCAGAACATATACGTGTTTCGCGTAATCTTTCCTCCAGGCGCCGAGAAGAGAACGAAGACGGAAATGAAATGCAAGGAATGGCCAATATTTCAGAGACATAGTATCAGAGAAAGTTATTTGTTGAAATAAGTTCATTATTTAATATGTTTGTGGTACAAATTGATGCAACACTATCATTATAATACCACTTTTTAAAAAAAGGTAAAGGGCTTGTGAAAATTTCAGAATCTCATCTAATTATTTCCTTTGGGACAGCTTTGAACAGTATTGCAAACAAGGTAATAATTAATAGAGTCAACACTGATTGTGTAAATAAGCCACATTCATTTATATTGTTACACTCACGTTCATAAATACCCAACACCTAATAGAGTAGCTGGTTCCCTACATATCGAATATACAACAGCACCAAAAACGATTCAGAAAACACGTATAACGCTTTATGATATACATCTTAGAAGTAAAAAATTAAGTTACACTTAACACAGGTTTTCTTGTAACATTTGGATTAGTTCCGTTATGTCATTATTTTCACCTTCTAATAAGCAAATATTCATTTACAAAATGGCACTAGTTCTAGACCCATCATCTCAATATATATGTTGTAATTCAATGAGAGAAAACATTTCAAATAGTGTACGTTTCGTTACATAATTAGATTTAACTCTATTCAATTTTATAAACTATTTACTAAAGAACCCTATTGTGCCGTAAAGGAAAATATAGTATTTTACAACGTTTCATCACTGTAAGTGCCGTAAAACCCCCGCGTAAAACGTTTTTTTCTTGATTTTTGAAAACATGTTCTTGTATAAACCAGCTAAAAACGTCAATTCATTGCCTACTTTGAAATAATAAAGGGCTATTTATCACATTGGTAGGTGCTTTAAAACGGTCAAAAAAAGCATTTTAGGTGCTATTCATCTCCCTCAAAACATATTTTTAGTAATTATCCCGTAATGTTCTCGTGGGATGCAAAGAATGGTCAGTTTCTCGCCAAAAGACTTCGCCGCGTCGAATAACACTTTTGTCTAGAATGGCGGGCCGCAAGGTCTCTAACCATGAACGGCGGACGGACGGTCGGACGGATCAACGCAGGTCACTTGATTAGCATACAAGAATACTAAGAATTGACAAGTCACTTTATTGAGCAGACAATCAATAGAAGGCAAAAGAAAAACTGGCTAGAGGAGTTCGGTGTGCTTACTTCACCATTTCCTACTATTTACTTGAATATAAGGCCTCAAGATCCCAGCTTTAACCATCATCTATTCACGAATCATTACTTCCAGAATTCCCTGCAAATTGTCTTCGTATCCAGCACTACATATTTTGACTAATTGACTTTTTAGAGAGCAAAGCTACTTTTTTTTCACAAGTGCTTTACGCTTTCAAGGAGATTCTACAATGCCGACCAGTCTTTGTATCGTGGAACTGTGTGGCAGTCCGGCGTGCTGCCCAGACAGCTGCAGTCGGCGAAACTTCCCGGATCAGATAGAGGCGCTCGGGCATTGTATCGCGTTTAAGGCTCACGCGCGCGCGCCCCGCCACTTCCCCTCTCCGCCCCGCCCCGCCTCCTCCACCCGATAGCATCTGCCGCCAGGCGGCCGCTATTTATTGCATAATAACACATTGGAGAACTGCCGAGTTAATGCAAGCCTAGAACCGCCGCGCGCGCCACCGCCGCCTCCGCCGATAAGAAGACGCGCGCTCAAGGGCGGGGATGCGCAAAAAGGACGGAAGGAAGGGAGGGGAGGCGAAAGAAGAGAGATGAAACCGTTGCACGGTGGGTCGGCTTTAAAACATACGCTTCCGAAATTTGTAATTGCATGTGCGATTTCAGAAAGCATGAATACGGAAGAAGAAAGAGCTGGTGGAAAAGGAGAAGGAGGCGATGAAAGAGGATAACGACGAATAAAAGAATGCATTAGATGGAAAGGAGGAAATGGAACGGAAACAGATTTAAGTAATGAGAGGAGATGATGAGAGAAGAGGATCAGATATTGTACCAGAACGTTGATGTCACGGAAGAGGAGGAAAGGAAGAATAAAGACGTGACAGGGGCACGATTAGTCGACATTAAAATTTACACGCTCAAAATCTGTAATTGATGTGATTTTGGAAAGTATGGGATGGAAAAGTGAAAAGAGAGAGAGAGAGAGAGAGAGAGAGAGAATGACATTGCAGAAGGATAAGATAATGGAGGAGGAGAATGCGATGGAATACACAGTGAGGAAGAAGAAGAGAATGATGCACAGGAGTGAGGAGATGTGTTCAAAATGGAGGCTACGGCGAAGGAAGTTAATGAAACAGTGATGTGATAAAGATGATAGGAGACGAGGAACGCGATGAGCAATAAGAATAAGGATGTATTTTAGAGGAACGTATGATAGAAGAGGAGGACAGGAAGAATGCAATGAACTTACAGTAATTAGAAAACCGTATTCGAAGCTAATAAAGATGTCGTAAAATCAGGTACCAAATATATTAAACAGTGTATAAAGAGATTATGTGTTTTGACTTGTATACTATTGTACAAGGAAGAAAGAATGTGGGCAAAAAAACTTGCAAAATTGAATAGAATGTTCTGAGCCAAGAGAAATACGAATGACAAAACTATAAAATGTACACGCTAAAATACGTTTTGTGATGAGAGTGAAGGCTGATTAAAATGTGAAGAAACATTTTCTCTCTAATCAAGAGTGGAAATAAAATGAAAAATTATTGTAGGAAAATATTAATTCAGAAACACTTCCGAATAATTAATGTAATGTAGTAGTAAAACTATAAAACAATGAGGAAACTGCACTAAGCACAAGAAATGTGTAGATAATGATATGATTGCATATCTTGTATTTATAGTATATAAACAGTCATCATTCTCGTGACTCGCAGTATTTACACACAGTTATCACATTTTTACGCACACACAGAGTTTAGACGCACAGTTACGGCAATAGAGTTGAAGGAAATACGGTTATTTTCCATTTAAAAAAATACATTTACGATCCTTTTTTATCGATAACGATGTTGGACCATACCTGCATACCCATGGGCTTTAAGTCTACAAGTATATATTCAATGAAAATATTTAAAAACCAATTTTTACACGCATGCCTCTACATATTAAAATATTTTTCTGCATTTTTGTGTTAAAATAATTTCAGTTTTTGAGGTGTGGCAAGGTCATATATATTTTTATCCTTTCCCTCCTTATGGTCTTTCCCCTGAGAATACAGATGGACACTTCCTTTTATGAGCATCTGGTTCAAACACAAGAATGTTGCTCCGATTGCAAAGGTATTATCAACATCAATAATGCTGCAATAATAATATAAGGTAATGCGCTTATATTATTCTCTAGGGCTTTTATCTATCCGACACACATTCGACTGTACACGACACATCAACGCACTTGCGAACACCTCTTATCTGGGGTCAGCAGAACTCGAATCCCTCCGCGACAGTACACACGTGAGAGACAAGGGGCAAGACAAACAACCATGCCCAAGTCGGGACCCGAACCCAACAATTCTGTCAACCCTTCGGGCCGAAGCGCTGAGTCGCTACACGCTCTTAGCCACCTCTTCTTTCCAGTTCGGCAAGGTTCTTACAACAAAAGTTCTGAAAGAAACAGTTACTCCTTACCTAAACAAAGGGAGAAGAAAAATGAATCTCTGAGTTGGATTGCTGACCCTCTTCCCTCCATTAGTGTATGACGGTGTATGCGGAGAAAACGAGAAATACAAAGGAAGCGTACAGTTGAAACTCAAGGAAAGCAGTGTCAGATAACCAATTGGCACTTTGACAGAACGTTTCTCAGAACGTTCTTGAAGTTCTAAAGACTTTGCACCTCACACTGTGCGAGGCGAGGCTGAGAAGATCTGAACGACTCGGAGATGAAAGGACGTGAAGAAGAAAAAGAGGCGATGGAGAAGCAATGGGGAAGAAGAGGATGGAGGGTGGAAGGGAAGTCGTCGCGACTGGCGTCTGGAGGCGTGCGCCTAACCACGCACGCGACCACACGCTGCCAACTTAACGGGCTGGCGCAAAAAGTAGTTGTTTGCGCCGGATCGTGCGGGGGAAACTTTGAGATAACGGAATTGCGTAGTCTTGTGATACGAATGTTTTCAACTTCACGGAGATAGCATCTTATACAGCGTTATTCAGCGCTACGATGAAATAAATTCAGTATTTATTGGAAAACATTGCAGTCTCTTTTCTACACAGGCAAAATGAACGTTCTTGTTTGTTTTCCAGAGTAAAGAATGTATTTGCAAAAGTATATTGAACATAGATACGTTTTAATGCATAATACTTTGTTATATACACATCTTGAGAAGAAATATTAAAAGCTATTTTACATTGTAATATAAACGCATTCTACACATTTGTGTACAATGGTAAACATGATAGTCTATTCCTTAATAAAAGTGTTAAAATTATAAATTCGTCTGCTAAATATATGCTATAATTTAATATATAAAATACTTTCAAGAAGAAGAAAAAATGTTCACGGAAGCCAGAGAGTAAAAATTGCAGCAATGGAATCTATAGAAGAATGGAAAATAAAATGAAACGTGAATTAGTTGCCTCAATAACCACACATTTTCTTATATTTTCGAAAAAAAAAACATTTTTCGGCGCTGGCATACAAACGTTACGGGGTCAGTTTTTTTCTTCAGAGTGTACTTCGATCGTGTATTTGCCAAGGATAGCGTCTTCCACGTCAATATTCAGAATATTCTCAGAGCGATATCAATAAACATATTTCGCAGGGAATACATTTGAACTGCTCTTGTTCCGCCCGACCCGTCTCAGAATTTGATAAATCCGAGAGCTCTGGAAGAGAGTCCGCGTATCAAATGTCATCGAGTGAGCGGCGCGACCCTCCGTCTCGGGCCGGAAGGAAGGAAAAGCGACGCAGGCTGGCGGGGGGGG